GGGGGGGGCACATGCGGGTGGAGGTAGCACGAGGGACGGCGGCGGCGGCGGCGGCGGCGGCGGCGGCCAGGGGAAGGAAGAGCCCCGCTACGCACCATGCTTGGCCATGAACTCGCGAGCGCGGGCCAGCTGCACGCAGTTGCGCGGCACGCCGAGGATGCGCAGAACCACATAGTTGAGGGCCGTGCCGAACATGGTGGACTTGTCCTCGATGTGCAGACCCCAGCCACCCTGCTCCGGGTGCTGGAGATTCAACAGGTAGCGGATCATCTCCTGGCGGTACACTCGCGGCATGGCCTGCTCCAAGGTCCCGGCCACATAGAGGGAGATCACCAGCCCGGGGATCAGGAACATCGGGCCACCGTAGTCACCGGCCCAGTGGCCGGACGTCGGGCATTGGACCGCCCGGACGAACTCCATTCCGCGACGGGCCGACTCCTCGGGGGTGGTGGCCTTCTCGGTGGGCACATCGAAGGGGAGATCCGCGGGCTGGGGGGGGGGGCAGGCGAGAGTGTCAGGGCCAAGGGCCAAGCGCGAGTCAGGGCGGTGGACGGGAACGGCAGGGCCCAAATGACCGGACCTTCAGGATGTTGAGGTGGAATTTGGTGGCATTGTCCTGGGGCCAGTCCTTGACATTGCTCTCGCCCTCGGGGTCGTCGTCGGTGGCCAGGTAGTGCCAGGTGTGCCGGCCAACCAGGTCGGTCTTCAGACGCCAGCGGCTCAGATCCGAGGCCTCGGGGACCGGGTAGACGAACTGCTCCTGCGAGAGGGGTTGGCAAGGCCGAGTGGCAGGGGGGCGGGGAGCATGTCAGCAGCAGCAGCAGCAGCGGCGGCGGCGGCGGCGGCCACGGGGGCAGGGAGGGGGCGCGAGAACAGGCGCAGGGGGAAAGGAAGAAAGAAGGGCGAGAGAGAGAGAGGGAGGGAGAGGGGGTCACACCTCAGACATTGTAGGAGGCGAAAAGGAAAGGGGGTGACAGCGACAAAGGGGATGGGGCTGGGGTGTTTCCTTGGTCGGCACGTGGAGCCCGGGGGGGATGGCGGGGTGGTGCCAAAAATGCCTCCACGCCCCCCTCCCCTGTGCTGACCCCTTCTATTCCTGAGCCCCGGTTGATCTCTCTCGACCGCAAGCGACGAGCGGCCAGGGGCCCGGAAAACACGAAAGCCGACCGATCGTCCGGAAAGCCTGGCCAATCTAGCGCGCTTCTCTCTCTCTCTCTCTCTCTCCCTCTCTCTCCCCTCCCTCTCGCACCCACACGCACTCAGGGCTAAACTCGCGCGGTGGTGGCGAGGGCCAATGCAACGGCGGCGGCGGGATGGGCCGATCGTGCACTCGGACCCTGCCACCAGGCAGGAGAGGCACCGGGCGCCCGCGGACCACGGCAGGTTTCACATGAAACGCCAGCTGGGTTCCCCTCCATCCCCCCGGTCCCTCCGCCGGAGGGGGGGGGGGGTGGATCCATCAGCCCATCTGCTTGACCTCGGGCTTGGGAATAAGGCCAGGGAAGACAGACCACACTCAAGGCGAGGCGGGCAACGGGCGCCTGCGCCCCACCGAAGGGGGAGGCTCCGGCCCGGGGGCCCCCGTTGAGCTGCGCAGAAGGTCCCCTGCCATGCCCCACGCGCCTGCGTAAGGGAGGGGGAGCTTGAGCGACAACACGCCCTTGCCCGCGGAGGCCCTCCCCCCACCCCCTCCCGCAGGTGCTCGGCTCGCCCG